AAAATTAGTAGAAAATGAAGCCCACAGGAAGTGACAATTAAGAGCTAAATGTGTGGTTTTGCTTCACATTAGTTATTTAGGCATACATTTTGGGGTGTTCTTTCTCATGTTTGCCACTACCAAAAAAAATCAATAAGAGTCATGTGAAAATATCTAAGCGAACACAGGGGAAATAGTGTCAGAGATCAATACTTCTCTACCAGCACGTTTAACCTGCTGAAATGAAGTGTTAATCACAGAAATAAGATACCATATTACATTTATAAACTAATGAAACTAGAAAAAGCAAAGCGTGTGACACTATAATTAAACAGCTGGAAGACATCCAAGCCTGTGTAAGTTGATAACCCTGGTACAATCTCTGGCAGAGGAAAGGCAGGCCTGCAGTGAGTTGATATGGCCAGCTCAGTTGTTAATTGAATAACAGGCAATCTATAAACACTACTAATTGCACATGTGAAAACCTGTGTACAAGTAGAGATGCTGCCTAGAAAAGCACTCCAGAAAAACTACATGGATAAAGCACTCACCAAATCTTCTGTCTCTCTCAATCCAGTTAAGTCATAGCTTAGTCTCACCACTGCATCCTTCTGATTAACCTCTACACAGCAGACTTAATGATACATTTTTCAAAAGATCATTTTTCTTCCTAACTCAATACGAACTGCAGAACTATCAATTACCGGTTTCAGAAAAGAACAAACAAGTAATCTAGAAAATTCAGCCTGTGAATGGAAGGCTTTCTAAATTGTAAAAGAAGACATGGTCTTATTCCCAACAGGCAAAACGCTTTGCAGAATTGTTCTGTCGCATTTTGCAGAAGTGTGGCAGCTGATGTGAACAGCATGGAGTGTTAAGATTTGACACTTTTTTTTTTTCTCTTAAGGATATAGCCATTTGGGGAGGCTCAGAAACTGTTGTCAGAATTTTACTTATCCATTTAATAAATCCTTTTAGAATGATTATTTCAAACCTGGTGAATGCAAACCATTTCAAAGTCAGGACCTAAACCAAACTTCTGATTTTTAAATCTTTGGAGAAGACTGGTTGGCCCAAGGGAATAGTTATAAGATATAAAACCTCTCTAGTTTAACATTCAAACCCAAATAAGGCCATAGAGAACAAAGGTCCCTATCATTCTAGAGGAGTCCAGTAGTTTCCATTAAATGAATTCACAGACTTAATCTACTCCCTAGTAGATAAATCACATCATGAAATCCAGAACTACTAATCAGAATACTATGCAGTATTTAGAAGAGCATATTAGCAAGAGACTTATGCTCATGTTGAGGCTCTAAAACTAGCTATACAAAGAAAACAATGTCTCTGGGCCTCAGTTTCTTTAACCATTGTGGGACTTGCAAAATATACACCATAAGGTTGCTATAAGGAACAAAGGAATAATATAGGCAATATGTTTGTTTAGCAGAGTGTCTTGCATAAAACACACTGAATAATAGCACAGTCTTAACAATAAAACATACAAATGCAAATATTAAAACATGTGTAGAAACTGCATGTAATCAAATGACTGAATGGTGCCTGAAGCCGTGTTTCTTTCTCACATCTCATTAGTATAGATGAGAATTGCAGATTTCACTGAGATTCCTGGTGAAAATATACAAATGTGTCATCTTAAGACATGGACGTAAGTCAGCTAAGTGACACTTTTTATCAAGATAAAGTGGAATTCCTCAAATATGAGGCCATCCGTGAACTAGAATAAGGAAAAAAAGGCTAAAAGAATCACTGTCAATTAATTTTTTTTTTAAAAAGCATAGAACCACTGTCAATTATAGTTTTTAAAGCATAGGCTTATATATAGTGAAGATGTGATAGGAGGTACACACAGGGAAACAAGTGACACCTGTGACAGAGCTGTTACCTCTGCTTTCACCCTGGATATTTGCTACCTGGAAGACTCTGACTCTCAAGATGTCCTAGGCTGCCAGGAAAAACATCTGATATGTAATTTTTAAGTAATAATTTTAACCTCTTTATCAAATATCAGAATTAACAATAATTCTTTGTTAGTTTCACCCATTCCCTGACTACCAAAAGATATGTTAATTGAAGGGCAGTCTATGAACTAACCAGGTAATCCAAGTCTTCTCTCTATCTATGGACAGATTCAAAATCCTTCAGTCCCCGTCAGAGCCTGAGGCTCACTCCTCCAGTGGAGATGCCCACCACACATGGGCACAGTGGCCTCCAGGACCCCACTGCATCCAGGATATCCAGCTTCTCAGCTGTGTAAGCAGTTAGGTTGCATATCCTTACTGCACTTGAACTTTAAGATTTTGGAATTAATCTTATATTTTCTTGATTAATTAATATTAACTGAGTTAATATTAATTTATATTTTCTCTAACAATATAAACTTACTGATCTTAAGACCCAGATAGAAACCTACTTTAAACAACAATTATACACAGCTTAATATACAATAAAGTAGAATTATTGTCAATAATAAATGCACTGAATCAGATACAACTGTACCCAAATGTTGAAGCTCCTCCTAAACTTTCAAAGTAAATATAAAGTATCAATATAAAATTGCAAAGTGGTTTGAATATTTAAATATGCATGTTAAACAAGGCATAACTACTTCTCAAATAAGAGAGAGAGAGAGAAAGTAAGTATAAACATTAGCCATGCATGCAGGGCATGATGCACACACCTGTCATCCCAGCTACTGGGGAGGCTGAGGAAAGTGGATGGCAAGTTCAAGTTCAGCCTGGTTAACATAATGAAACCCCATATCAAAAAACATTAGCCATGTAGATTTCAATATATTTATATTATTATTGCAAATATCTAAAGAGGCTCTATTCAAAGTGAAATTATATCCATTATTTTAGAGTAGAAGCAACTAAGTTATATAGTATGGATTAATTGATTAAAGTAAGAGAGCAACCTGAACCATGTTTCAAAGCTGTTTGTTTTCTTTGTAAATATGAGAAAACACACACACACACACACACACATACACACACAAAAAATCCTTCAGGGAGAAAGGATTTACAGATGTCAATGAGTTGCATTCATACTAAAATGGTGCCTGCATGTCCTTCAATAAAGCCAGCATTATAAAATTGCTAATATAAATGCATGGACTATTTTTCCAAAATGTTAAACCATCTGCTTTAATATAGAAAAAATTTTTTAAACTGTTACCAATATCAAAATCCCAGAAGCATCTATAACTGACTTTTTAAATTTAAAACTATCATGAGTAGCATGTCAGCGAGATAATAAAGCGTTGTGGTTTAAAAAAAAAAGGATCCTTATCCTGAAGCAGCTCTAAGTGAGAATAGATCTTGGACTATTGCAATAATCATGTTGTGATATAGTAGCACTATGACCCATGAGAAGAGAGGGGTGTTTTGGGTTTTTTTGGTTGTTGTTCTTGTTTTTTTCTTTTTTTGGTACTTGGGATTAAGCCCAGGGGCACTTTACCACTGAGCTACATTTCCAGCACCACCACCCTGCTTTCTATTTTGAGACAGGTTCTCTCTATGTTGCATAGGGCCTCACCAAAAGTTAGCCAGGCAAGGGCTGCTGTGCCTGGCAGGGGTGGTTTCTGAAGTGTGAATATTTTGCTAAGATGAAGAGTTACTATAGAGGACACCCCTGAATATGACTGAACTGAAACAAGACATGTGGATTTGAAGGGTAAATGGTGAGCCTAGTAACTGAGACTGGAAATACAGAAGGATAATGTTGGGGAATTTTTGAAATTATCCTTGAAAAATAATAGACATTATACAAAATCATTGGACGAAAAGCTTTGACAACCAAGTTAAATACCCAGGTAAGAACTAGAAAGATGTAAACTTTGGCTTCGCTGTACTTTCCACACAGTAACAGATCCTCTGATTTGAATATGGTTTGTTCTCCAAAGGTTCATGCTGGAAGCTTGGTCCCCACTGTAACAGTATTGGAAGGTGGTGGGAACTCTAAGAGGTGGGCCCAATAGAAGATGGCTGCATTATGACCACCCTTGGCCCAGTGGAAGATGGCAGCATTATGACCACACTTATGAAAGAATTTAATGTCAGTATCATAGAGTGGATTAGGCTACCAATCCAGGAGAGCTCCCAAGAGAAAGTTGTCATAAAAGAGCAAGACTGGATCCTCCCTATTTTCTTGCTTCCTCTCCTATTCTCCCTTTTTCTGTCCCTTCTCCTGCTTTGTCATCTGTACTCTACTATGAGATTCTATCTATCTTGTGGTGACATAGTCAGGAGACAGTCACCAAAGGCCAAACAGATGAGGTGGCCCCATCTTGGACTTTATGCTTCCAAAACTGTGAGCTAAATAAATCTTTTTTTTTTTTCTTAATGAAAGCATCTAGTCTTGTTGAGGGCCACAGACAAGTCAAGATGGCGCCTGGCACTTTGAGTCAAGCCGTGTATTCAGTAATGTATATATACCTCTACTGTCCTACAATAAAGTGGTTCCCGCTGTTTCAACCTTCACAAGTTGCCTGTCACCCCCCGGTTACTTTGCCCAGCCAGACTGAGGCATAGTCTCAGCTATTTTGTTATAGCAACATAAAATAAACTAAAATACAAACTTATTAGAACATGTACTTGTACCTATTCATTTCTTTGCTTAAATATTTCCTATGGATATCCTATTTCTAAAATCAGACTTCCCAAGCTATAGAACTAAACAGTGAATCAAATACTGCTGGACTGTTCTGGAAATGTATGCTCATTTAAACTAGAGTGGGGCACTCCCTTCTTGCTATTAGAATGTTTCAGAAATGAACTGCATGAGTTTTTAGTGAATGCAGAAAGCAGAGAAGAAAAGGCAATTATTTTTTATTATGTGACAATTTGGTCCTCATAAATCTTATAGAAGAAGTAGGCAGCAAGTTGGGTTATAATAGGCCAGGGGTGAAGAAGAGTCAGTCTGGAGACAAGGTAATTCCAGTGAGAGCTGGAAAGCTTTCAGAGCTATCAAAGAGAGGTCAAACTTAAAGAAACACATACCTTCAACATCACAACTCAGGTAGTTACGCACTTCATTCAAAATGAAGTTGATATCTTCTTCTGAAGGTATAGGGTGCTGTGTGATATCAGTTGGCGTATCAGTAGTGCCAGCAATAGTCATCTTTTGCCAGGGTAAGAAGAAAATAACTCGCCCATCACTGGTGGCTGGGTCAAGAAGTCCCATGCTCTCTGGGCTAAAGTAAAAAGAAATTAGCAGAAGCTTTTTATTACTCTGTCTTCTATAAAAACGATTTCACTTACTAATGTTCAAATAAGCCAACAAGACACGAACTATTACTTGTACTGCCCTACTCCAGAAATTCCTAGAAGGAAAAAATAATAATATGAGTAACAAAAAAGTACCAAGCAAATGTAATAACCCTCTTCTGCAGCAGAACAGCGCTCCCCACCTCAACAATGCAAGGTTAATTAACTTCCAATTGTTTTGGTTTTTATACTCCATGGATCATTCACATCAGATAATGTCAGTGGGATAAATGCCTATAATTTCTTTTATTATGGTCAATTAAGAATAGCTCTTCAACCTTTTTTCGAGTCTGTGAAAAGTATTTTACTGGGACATTTGACATTTGGCACATCTTTCAGTAGAAGGTCTCAGAAGAACATAAGAAAGTGAAGAATCTAAGTTTCTAGAAACTAAAATGTAATCATCAAGTTCTTCACTCCTTTGTGCCTAGATGAACTCATGCCACTTCACCAAATATATATTTCAAGGTTACAGAAATCTCAAGAAGTGCTCACAGAAGAGCTCAGCTTTCTTCTAATAACTAACAATGTCCTAGGATAGGTCAAAGGGAGAGGAACACCTTAGCAATGAAAATCTTTTAAATAGAAAACACTGTTATGCTATTAAATCAGGGTGCAGGCCTGCCTCTTCAGACAGATTGTAGAAAATCTTCCCAAATATTAAAGAAAAATTTTTCTCTAAAATATTCTGAATTATCTAAAAACCAAATTATAGAACACATTTGAAAGAATGGGCAACTGTAAATAAATATTAACAAAACCCATTGAATTTATCACTACAAACTGTTGTTTTAATGCACTCATTAGCCATTCAAAGAAATATGGAAAAGTTGTTAAGGTTTTAAAGCATCATATTCAAACAGAACACTTGTTCAATTCAGATACCTGGTTCAATTTGACCAAATTCTTATATAAAACCAGTGTTAAAGTATTTTATTTAACATTTTTAGCTTATAGTAATGCATTTTTTTAAAAAAAGAAACAATTTTACTTGATTTGAACCAATAGCAAGAAATCCCTCACATGCACAAATTTAAAAGGGAATACAGTCAATTCTTTATTTTTATCATTTTTTTAAAAATTGTTTTAAAAGATTGATTCAAATGTCTAATAATGAGATGCTAACAACTGTTTAAAAACAAATAAAAAACATTTTTAGTACATAAATGAAATTGCCAGGTGCACTGTCACATACTCAGGAGGCTGAGACAGGAGAAACACAAGTTCAAGGCCAGCCTCAGCAACTTAGCAAGTTCCTGTCCCAAAATAAAAAAGGCTAGGGATATAGCTCAGTGTTAGAGTGCCTCTGGGGGGGGGGGGGGAGAAAGAAAGAATGAAAGAAAAAAAATATCTACAGTCAGCATAACTAAATGTATCTCCTTTATTTAAATAACTACAAAGAATACTAATCTTTCAGGCAAGGAACCCTCAAGCCCATAAAAACCTGTCATATCTCCTCTGTGTTTGCATCACTACCAAGAGCTTATCCTAAGAGGCACAGTAGAGAATGGACACAGAACTGTGGAACCAACCCAGATGCCCTTCAATAGATGGATTTAAAAAAATGTGGAATTTATACACAATGGAATATTACTCAGCACTAAAAAATAACAAAATCATGGCATTTGGAGGGAAATGGATGGCATTAAAGCAGATTATGTTGAATGAAGCTAGCCAATCCCTAAGGAGCAAATGCCGAATGTCTTCTTTGATAAAAGGGGGTTGACTCAAAACAGAGCAAGGAGGAAGAGCATGAGAAGATTACCATTAAATAGGGTTGAGAGATGCATGGGAATGGGAGAGAGAGAAAAGGAATTGCACGGAAGATGGAAGGAAACCCTCATTGTTATGCAAAATTACATATAAGATGATGTGAGGGGGAAAAAAGAGAGAGAGAGAAAAGTGTCATAGTAGAGTGGGTAGAGAGAGGTGATGGGAGGGGAGGGGAGGGGGGATAGGAAGGGTAGCAGAATACAATAGACACTAGTATGGCTGTATGGGTAAACGTGGCTGTAAAACCAATGTGATACTGCAATCTGTACACGTGGAAAAATAAGAATTCATACGCCATTTGAATCAAATATATGATGTCAAGATCACTGTAATGTTTTGAGCATCTAATAAAAAAAAAGAAAGAAAATTTAAGAGTGAGACGAAAAAAAAAAGAGAGAGAGAGAATGGAACAGATCTTCCACTTTGGAAATCCAAACAGCACCAAAGAAGTGTGCCAATCATTTAGAACTTCAGCAAAGATTCTCACCTTCACTCAGTGTTACTTGGAGGAAACTACTTTCACTTAAATATATAAAAAAACTTTGAATATTGAGTATTTTTGAACTCTAAATATGACTATACCCTTTTTTCTTTGTATTTGTTATAAAACTCTAAAAATCTTAAACATAGTTAATCACAAGTATTATAGGTACCTATTTTGATCATGAGTGAGATATCCTTAAGTAAATAAATTACTTTGAGATTGGTAATTAACACATTCAGAGATCAAGCAATTAATTTTGTAATTTGCAATTAATTTTGTAAATAATTGAAGAAAAATAATAAATTTCATACTCCAACATTTGAGAAATAAATTATATGCTGATATAATTTAGGTGCAACCATCTAATGGACCAAAAACATAGATACCTAAAATAATGAACCAGAAAAACTTATATAATTCTAATATTCAACAACCTAGATAAGAAATGCAGTTAGCAAAGCACAGCTACTGAATCCTTTAAAAATTTCAGTGCAATAAAAGCAGTTTAAAGGGTGAAGGTGATGGTTACCAACACACACGTAACTGGAACCTGTAGAGAATCAACTGCTTAAGTGAAGACATATGTGTCAAACATAAAATTAATAAGCACAGAGGGAAGACAAAACTATTAATGAATGGTATAAAAATTTAAGAATCCACTTGGAAATATCTTTCATTAGTTTTAAATTACCTAATTCATATTCTCCCTTAGGGAAGAAAAGTTTGTTTTCCTATGAAGGATTAATTCTGCAAGGTCACACTAAAGTTCGATAACGGTATCAACTATAGTAATGGTACATACAATGCAGTGTGGCACAGGTCTCGTTTCAATTTGAATGATTCATTTGACATCAGAGGGAAAAGCTAGCAAATTTATGTGTGTGTCGAGGATTAAAGGTAATGAACATTTTTCTCTTGCAGACCATTGCTTTCCTGAAGTACCTTTAGTTAAACTGAAATCAATTTATTGTTAACTACTTAGCAATCAGTGTTAGAGCTAACGGTATGTACACAATATGCAAAAAAAAAAATTGATCTGTTGTCAGCAGGAAAAAGATTCAGTAGGAAGAAGGGGGAGATTATTTTCATGTATTTTAGTAATTTGGTATATTATTGCTGCTTTGGGAAGAGCACCTAGCCACAATTCTGATGAAAATTACAGATTTATTCTTTATATAACTTAAAGAGTGCTTTTAAGAAACTGATCTCTGTATTATGGATTTTTCTGAAATTGAAACAATTCCTCCTTCCTCCCCCTGCCAAAAAAAAGAAAAAAAGAAAAGAAAGAAAGCTATTACCATAAGGCAATATAATTCTACATGTAAAACATTAGTTAAGGTTAAAACAAATTTACAAATGACACAAAGATGCTTCGGAAAATGGCCTGACAAGATACACAGCACAGCCTTCCTTTTTTTTTTTTTTTTTTTTTTTTTTTTTTTTTAAAATATTTATTTATTTATTTATTTTAGTTCTCGGCAGACACAACATCTTTGTTTGTATGTGGTGCTGAGGATCGAACCCGGGCCGCACGCATGCCAGGCGAGTGTGCTACCGCTTGAGCCACATCCCCAGCCCCTTCATTCTTGATTTACCATCCTATATTTGATAAATCAGTGGCTACTAAACTCTGAAATGCCAAACTAATCAGGCTGCAACTGCCACACTGGGTCTTAAGTTCTCCTCAGCCTGGTGCAGGGCAGCCCTAGAAGGTTCATACCAGCTCTGGTTCATCCCTGCAGACCTGGTCAGAACCTCAAGTCACAACTGTTGAGAGTGACTGACTGATGAGGTCAGAGACTCATTTCAGTCTGAGATCTTCTGACCCCACCCAAGAGAATGATTTGATGGGGAGAGGCAAATCAATCCTGAGGTAGGCCAGAGCTGTCCTTGCCTCAAGGTCATCAATTAAAAAAAAAAAAAGGAATAAACCCTTACTCCAGGCCACAGTCCACAGCTAAGAGACTCATCTGCAACAGAGCCAGAATGGGAGCCAGGCTGTGGACCACTCCTCAGCAACACCATATACAGTGGCTGTAGTTCACAGTGCTACCAATAAAAATACTATTTTTTCTCAAGAAAAATCATTTACTGCATTTTGGACCAAAACAGACTTAGCTGTGATCTAACACTTTAATGATCTATGGAGAGGGGTTCTAAGGCTAATGCTAAACTTTTAGGATTAAACGGTCTTTTTGTTTTGAAAATATTATATCCAGGTAATATATATGTACATATTTCTTATTTAAAAACTTATCTATTTTGTTATAAAATATACAAGACACACTATAGAACAATATCTATCATGTGACCACTCTACTGCAAATTTTGTAACAGGACAAACATGTGTAAGTAAAAGCATACACTTTTATGGAAAGAACTTAAAGAAGATTACTGACTTTCAGAAAACTGAATGAAGCCAGGAAAAGGTTTTCACTGTCTCTCTCTTTTCAGAATGATAGAAATCTCTGATTAATCACTTATGTTCATTTTACTTATTTATTTTTGTCTATAGGGATTATCTGGGAATTAAGATGAAGAATTGTATTTTGTTCCCATATTAAAAAAGACCTTTATAACTGTTGCATTAGTCAGTGCTCCATCACTATTAAAGATACCTGAGATAATCAACTTATAAAGAGAAAAGTTTATTTAGGCTTACAGTTCTGGAGGTTCCAGTTCATTAGCAGCAGACACTGTGGCTGGGACAAGGCAGCACATCATGGGATAAGCAAGTGGCAGAGTACAATCACTCACGTCATGGCCAGGGTTCAAAGAGAGTGAGAGAAATTGGCCAGAATCCCTCAAACCCCTTCAAATTCATGGCCCTCCAAAGACCTAAAGACTTTTCATTAGGCCACGGCCACCTCTTAAACTTTCCACCACCTCCCGTTAGTGCCACACTGGACCAAGCTTTTAAGACATGAGTCTTTGGGGAACATTCCTGATCCAAAATGTAACAAATGTTATATTAACATTTTAATATAAAAAAGCAATTATCTCAACTTGGGCAAGTGGATACAAAAAAAAGTTAGGATTCATTCAAAAATTAGTTATTGCAGAACTAAAGATGTAGCTCAGTGGTAGAATATTTGCTCAGCATGTGTAAGGGCCTTGATTAAATCACCAGCATGGTATGGGGGGGGGGAAACTATGGGCATTATTATAAACTAGAAACTACCAAGATTTGAGGAAATAGAGTCAACAAAACAGATAAAAATTAATCAAAGATCATTGTCCAAAAAAATCTTAGCTGGGTGTGTTGGCGGACACCTGTAATCCCAGCGACTCAGGAGGCTGAAGGTAGGAGCATAGGGAGTTCAAAGCCAGCTGCAGCAAAAGCAAGGCACTAAGCAACTCAGTGAGACCCTGTATCTAAATAAAAAATAGAGCTGGGGATATGGCTCAGTGATTGAGTACCCCTCAGTGCAATCCCTGGTACCCGCATCTTCCTGTAAAAAAACCCTGAAATCTTTTTAAAAAGCTGGATGTGGTGGTGCATGCCTGTATTCCCAGCAGCTTGGGAGGATCACAAATTCAAAACCAGCCTCAGCAACTTAGGAAAGCCATAAGCGACTTAGTAAGACCTTGTCTCAAAAAATAAAACAGGGTATGAATGTGGCTTGCTGCTTAAGCACCTCTTTCAATCCCTGGTACCAGGAAAAGAAATCATTATCAGACTTAATAGAAGTTAGATACTATATGGAATAAGGAATCAGAAGCAGAAAGGAATACCTTACCCAAGGTCACACAATTAGTAGAAGAGAAGGTGAACAAACTAGGAAGTTCTATGCCAAGGCCTGACCTTGGCTTAACTCTTGTCCTGTCTCCTTGCCTATGTACTCTGAAATAACTGATTGCTTTCCTATCTTAATGGTGCATTTACAAAAGAAAATGGTTTGTCCCAAAGAATGCAGTAATTATGTGACAGAATTAACCTAAGGCCTTTGGGGAATAATAGGTAATAAAATGTCCTCTGACATCATAGGACAATACTGAAGAAAACATAAGACAAAATATGCATAAGAATATGTTGAATTTAGTAAATCTAAACAAATACAAGAATTTTGATAATTACACACCTGTATTCACTGTTCTCACAGATGTTAAAAACTCTCATAAACTATCAGGCCATGAATATTTTTAATCCAACACAAAAATGACTGTATATAATTGCATCTGAAACTATTTTAAAACTCAATTAGGTACCGATGCATACATTTTTATTATCAAAATTAGAGCTACATTGGTGTTTCCAGCTTTGAAAACGCATAGGAAACTTTGGAAGTTGGGAGATAAGTTCTCTTGAATACACTTTGAGTAAAAGTGTATTTGGTATGGCTGGGCAGGATGGTGCATGCCTGTAATCCCAGTGACTTGGAAGGCTGAGGCAGGAAGATTTCGATTTCAAAGCCACCTCATTCAACAAAGGTGAGGCACTAAGCAACTCAGTGAGACCTTGTCTCTAAATAAAATAAAAAATAGAGCTATGGATGTGGCTCAGTGGTCAAGTGCCTCTGCACCCCATCGCAAAAAAAAAAAAAAAAAAAGTGTATTTGGTGTCTCTTATACTGTCTTCAGAAAGATTTGATTACTGGAGAGCCAATAATGAATAAGGTAGCATCATCTATAACATAACAGGACAGCATTTCTAGGAGAATACCAAGTATCTAATTTTTGCACATCTATTTTATTTCATATTAAAAGCCTTGGGCTGTAGGTTGTGGCTCAGTGGTAGAACCCTTGCCTAGCATGTGTGAGGCAGTGGGTTCAATTCTCAGCACCGCATGTAAATAAATAAATAAAATAAAGAACCATCAACAATTAATAAAAATATTCTTTTTTAAAAAAAAGAGCCTTATGAAGGCAAGGCATGATGGCATATACCTGTAATCCCATCGACTTAAGAGGCCTAGGCAGGAGGATTACAAGTTTAAGGCCACTCTCAGCAAGTTAGCAAGGCCCTAAATTACTTAGTGAGACCCTGTCTCAAAATTAAAAATTAAAAAAGTGGGGCCCTGTAGATGTAGCTCAGAGGTAAAGTGCCACTGGGTTCAATCCCCAGTTTACAAAAAAAAAAAAAAAAAAAGCTTATGTTTCTTTATGAAAAATTAGAACAATGTGGAAGGAAATAACCCTCACATGTAATCACATTACAGATAAACACCATTAATATTTAACATATTTTCCAGTCTTTTTCTATCTGTAGAAAACATGTAGAAATATAGATCCTATTACATATGTCATCTCTAGTCTTGCAACTTAAACTAACATTGTATTATTAGCATTTTCCTAGGACAATATGAATTCAAATTTAAACTAACATTGTATTATTAGCATTTTCCTAGGACAACTGAAGTTATTTATAATTTTAATTCTTATTGACTACATAATATTCCCTTGTCTAGATAGGCCATAATCTATTTTCTCCCAAGGTGAGGAAATAAAGTGGTTTCTAATCTTTTTTAAGAACAAATTATGATATAATATCTTTGCATATAATTCATTATTTCATGTAGAATTACTATTTGCCTACTAGATTTAACACATATGGAATTAACAACAGCATATAAATTCTGTACTCTTGGCACAGTCATATGACTTTTTCCACAGATGTCTTAAAATATACATTAGGAGTAATCATTATTAATAATTTGACAAGAAATACATACATATTTCTTCTAAATTTTCAAAAACACATAAAAGTTGGAGTTTTTATGGTTTCCTGTGTACCCACCACCCCACTTAAATGAGATTCAATTAATAGCGATACTTCATCTCTACCCCTACTCCCTTCTCCATCCCTACTTATCTTTGCTAATTTGATATTCTGAAAATTACATCTGAGTTTTAAAAACATATTTATAAAGTTATAAACTGAAGAATACCTAAGAGGCTAATATTTCCAACTTGCTCATAAGGATAAATATTTGACAAAATTAATTTCTTAATGATTTAATTAAAACATCCTTTATGGAAGTTTGACGGGATTAAATTTTAATATCTTATTAAGAATAGAATTTAAAATACCAACATTTAATCTGTAAAAGTGACTATAATGAACAAAATACACTATAAAAAAAAATAGATCCCCATTAGACTTTACAAATGAAAACTGCCATAAGTGGCTAAGATTTTCCCCAGCCTGGTTTATATTTTGTGTTAGAAGAGTTCCATCATTTTCTCCTCATTTAGAACAGCAAGTTAGGCCATCTATTATTAAGAAGAGTGTACCAGAAGAAATTAAATGCATAGGGAATCGCTTGTGCCCTTTCCCAGGTGAGGAACAACAAGATGGAGTACAGTTACCTGTAGTAACCAGGCATCACAATATGGACACCAGCACTTGGCTGGCAGATAGCCGCAGCGTTCTTATCATCCATTTTGCGCACAGAGTCTGTGAAAGGTCCCGTAGCATTGATAACACATTTGGCTCTCACATCAAATTCCTGCCCTGTGAAAGAAAGCAGCATCAATCACATACCCTATTTGTTTCTCTGTTCACTGATGCTGTGGATTATTAATTCATCTATTAACTTAACCTATGGCGAAGTATATTGCATACCACACTAAGTGACATGAGCAGCCAGAGTTATTGAAGAGCCAAACAAAAGGCTCACTCCTGAGTAAATTTACCAAAAACAAGTCCAAATTAAAGAGAAAGCATGCCATTTTTTCATTGTGGTGCTCAGTCTATTTATAAAATGCTCAAGATCAAGGTGCCACACATGAAGAAAGTGGAATGAGAATAAATAAGTCACTTTCTCCTAAAAACTCAAATGTGTAAACAGCTGCGCCATGAGACAACACACTTCCCAGTGTTAATTTTGTTCAAGAAATAATGTAATTTTGCAGCTGCCTGTATGGCCATAGGACCAGGACAAGAAAGAATCTAACAAAAGTTAAAGGTGATTGATTTTAATGACATGTAAATGCACTGCCTGTGTCACCTAAGTGATACTTTGAAACTTGGTACATTTATTTAATTTTATTAATTATATGTTTTTGTAAAGAAAATGGAATGCATTCATATCTGTGAGAATTTTGTGGGCATTTATTATTATCCTTATTATTATTATTATTTAACACAAAGGGGAAAATTGCCAATTCCTACAAGGGAAAAATTTTCACGTAAAACCAGTCATTATTGACAATAAGGAATATAATTAATACGACTCTGAAGCCTGGGTTAAATGGAAGAAAAGTGACAGAAAAATTATAATTCAGTCATTATACAAGCAAGGCAAGATTCTAAGAAATACCTCCTGCTCCGAGACATGGCATACCTGTGAGGACATCCTTGCACCGTGCGCCACTCACATGCTCCTTGCCCGTCTGGGGGTCTGTCTTCTTGAGCAAGTTCACTACCTCCATGTAATTGGCTGTGGCAGCCCCATACCTGGCAGCAGTGAGAGCAATGGCAAGGTTCATCCGTGCATCATTGTGTTGTCCTGCAGCAGGAAAAAGCATCAGGGGAGGGACAGGAGTCACCTCGAGCCACAGACTGGTGGTACAGAAGTGTGTCACAACAGATATGTCACATCTGTCCCTGTCACCCAGAATATACATGATGGTTGGGCAGCTCTACAGGGCACGATTTGAAAATACATGGTCATTCTCAGTCAGGTCTTCACCTGCCACTTCAGTAAATACATTTTGTGCCACAAACATGGTGAAAAATATCCCCTTCCTACAGAGCTGACATCAATTATCTGAAAGTTAAGAAATAACTAATTATTCTCTCCATGTGGGAACAGATGTATATGTCAGAATTTTCCTAATACAGAAAAACCATAAGCATGAAAGTGAAGCAATTCAAAACTTTAGAATATTTGACACCCCAACTGGTGTTGATGAACAATTTTTATGAGTATGTGCTCTATCTAATATTCAAAATCAAGAGCTTAATCTTCCATAGAAAATCTCACCATATTCCATAAAAGGATTTTTCTTGGTTTGAATTTTGATCAGGGCTCCTTAAAATGTAACATTTTTTTTTTAATCGCACATAAAAGGTAAGAAATTAAGCAGGGCAAAATTTAATTACAGAACAATTCCTACCTGTATTGTTAAAGATTTATTGCTGAAAAATCCTAGTTAAAGAAAACTAAGGGGGAGGAGAAGGGGGAAAGATGATTAATCACTTTAAAATACTGACATCACTGGAGACTTTTTCTATTTATTATTGCCAGTGGAGTTAACGCTGACCAGGAAGAATTACTCTACATTGCTGGGGCCAGGTTCTCTGTGCCCTGAATAATTAATTATCCAGGGCTAGATGTATTGAAGCAGAGTTCAAATTCCCACACATTGGGATCAGTTCTATCAAGATAATACTGATAAAGGGATGAATTTGTAATGGATATTGTTGTTGATTTATGTTGCCAGCATACCAAACATTTAGTATAAATGGTTTATGTAAAGTTTCTTCCTTGTGATTCAGCCTGTGCACGGCTAGAAGCACTACACAAGCAATCTGTTCCAGCTAAAAGGGCAAAGTTATAAAGAGAGAATCAATGACTTAAGACTCTGCCATCCCTCCCCACAAATCTTATTCCAGAACCTCTGAATTAATACCATCAGCCAAGAATCTTCCCCCCAAAATTATATATGCCACCAAGTGGGGAACACATATTAAACCTCAACATGCAAATTTTTTATTATTCTGGAATTAATATGTCCAAAAATTAACAGGATGAGTAGGAGGGGAAAGAAAACAACAATAACAGGAGCAGCAGTTGAGCTGGGCATAGAAAGGAAGTGGAGCAATTCCTCAAGTTTCCATTTAGCATGACCCCAAAGTTGCTTAAAATAATCACAGGTATGTCTAAAACTAAGTTTAAAAAAAAAAAAAAAAAAAAACGTTTATTAATGCAGAGCTCCTTATTTAAAGCAGAGGTGTGCTCCATAGAGTTAAATACACACAGTCTAAAGAAACTAAATAAAAATTCTACTAGGGATTTTCCTTTGAAGGCAATGACACAGCACTCATCTTCTGCAGTCTTTCTTGCAGATGTCTATACAAGAATGACACACCCTCCCCAGCACCCGGCCGAGGTAAGCATTTGGTAGTACATGAAATCCAAGTCATGTTTGCTCTCACCATAGGCATATTGTAGGGAAGCTCAGCCATTTTGGGTTTGTTGACTTACAGACAGGACAAGTCTCTGGAAAGTCATGTGTAAATGAACTATTTTAAATCCTAGATGAAATTGCTGTTCCAAGGAACCAGGCAGAAATTCCATTCACTAAAAAATAGATTCCTTTGTAAAGTGCTGTATCTATTACACAATCACTTGGGTCTAAACTGACTTTGAAAATATAAAATTTTCTTTTAATGCATTTGAAACATACAAAAATCTCATTACAGCATCAGTATATCATATATGCATGGCTTACACTGCAGTATAAGTATAGCTCATCAGGCTGTTGTTTCCATATTAAGTAATCTCTCCCTAATTAGCTTGTAAATCACAATACAATTTAAGGTAAAGAAGATCAACTGCAGTTTAAAATGTAAGATAAAGAAGACTCCTCTGCTCCTTATTTCTCCACATCCACCCCCAGGAGCTGGGAGTAACTATCTTGACTTCAATGGGGAATGCTACTTATTGGTAGAGACCCTTCATGATATGATCCACATCTGCCACAATTCATCTACTCCCAATATTCTTGGATCCAGTATTGCCAAATTATTTGCGATTCCCTGAACTTTCAGGCCATTATACACTTCTGAACTTTGCCCAAACTTATTATTTGTATTCTGGCTGAGTGCCATTCTGGAAACCTCTCTTTGTCTCTTATGATCTGGATCAAATATCTCACCATGAAGTCTCACCTTATCTGCATCCTGCCCCTTCCAAGGCAAAATTGTTCACTGCTTCTGCATCAGCATTATGTCTTGCACCTACCTTTTTAATAAACTTTCCAATACTACATTTATCTGTAGATCCATCTGCTTGCAAAAATAATTAACCTTTGTCATGAACTGAGTGCTATGATAAATGCAGGGAACACGATGGTGAGAAAGACACAGGGCAGCCTCAACCCAATGGAACTTACTTCCCATTGCATTGTAGGAGTCCACGTTCAGGGGATGGTAGCAAACTCACTTTCATTTGCTCTTTTCCTTTCTCTCTCTCTCTCTCTCTCTCTCTCTCTCTCTCTCTCTCTCTCTCTCTCTCTCTCTCTCTCTCATTAGTACCAGGCATTGAATAGGTACCCAATAAATGTTGAGTTTAGCCAAATGCTATTCAATATGTTAGAGAAACAGATAAAGAAAATCTTACCTCCAACTATGGAATGAAATGCCTTGTCTCTTGCTAAAGACATTTCAGACATCTGAAAGTTGGTGGCAAAACATCTGAGGAGTACATAGAAATCCCCCAAATGTGGAAAATCTGAAACATCACTCCAAACTAGCTCTTATATATAGGATGAATGAATGGGAGGAAGATAGGGTTTCCTCAAGACTTTTACCACAGCTTCCCCTTGCTCTGCTGAAGAATGCACACCTAGCTACTATTATCTTCTAAAAATTGAGGAGTAATCTGTCACCTCCTGAGACGAGAAGTTCACATCTCAATCCAGCAAGCCTCTTCTTTCCAGACATTCACTTTAACCATTTACCTCCTTGGATTCAGGGCAAAGCTCCCTCCTTCCTCAACCTCCTGAACCTTGCCATTCACCCTGAGATACCTAGACCCCAGACACTTGTGGTGTATGCTTCCTGGAATATAAATGATATATTTTCATTATTCTTAACTAAATTTTTCTCAACTCCTTCCTGACATTTGGAAAGGTATCTCTATGCCTCTTGTAATTTATTTCTGGAGAAAAAAAACCTTTTTGACAACACTTCATGTCATTGGAATGTGATACAATAATCTCAAATCCCCACCCAATTGATCTGCTTATGAAGTTTAGATTTTCAAATCCGTTTCCTTAGAGCCAGGCAACATTATACTGTGTTTCACTGATCAGCGAGTAGCTTTACATTGGCACTTACACAAGGACCCAGACGGCGACTGTGAAAATCTGTTTCCTGCTCTGTTCTCGTTTGCACTTGAAATCTTACATATGTGCACATACTGAGCTTACAGCTCATAGGGGAGGAAGCACATAAGAGGTGGAACTATAACTGTTTTCCCTTGTTTAGAAAAACAAAATATAAAATCTACCCACCCAAAAGAATAAAGGTTGGTGGTTGTAGAGAAGATTTTGTCTTAACTCTCAATGGCCTGGAACACAGAACAGTGATAGGTATTTTAAGTGACATATGTGTGACCATGCGTATTTCAGGATGTAACCATCTAAAAGATAGGTCTCACATATAAATATTTTGGAGACATAGCAATATTGCTCTCCTTGGAGTCAAAGTTTGGCAACTAAGTTAACATGCAAAATAGCTGGAAAAAAATGAGTAATGATCATTGAATGTGTAAAGGGTATGAAGAAAGAGTAAATGTGGAAAAAATAGGTAACAAATTAGCTGGAATTTTCATTTCCTTCAGGTCTAAAGTTCTGTGGTGCTATGAAAATGTACATATAATCTTCCTCTAAATACAGTATACATTTAAATGGCCTTTCACTACATACAGATCAATCTACTATTTGCCTCCCAGTATAGAAAGTCTAATTGTTAGGAAAAAATACTTCTTCATTAAAATAACACCTGCCCACAATTTCATATTTGATGAAAAACAGCACTTTGCAATGTTAAGAATATTTCCTTCATTTCACTGTGCTCTGACCTGGGTCTCATATCACCTTGACTACTTCAAGCAAAGGGGGGAAGGATTCTCGTGAGAAATAATATCTCTGTAAAACTTTAAACCCATTTCTAACAAAATCCACAAGGAATGTTTCACTGTTTCAGACTGATAATGTCACAGTGACCTCTCTGGCAGCTTCCCCTTTGTAGTCTGGCAAAGGTAATTCCAAGGCTAATCTACCAAACTCAAGCTCATTGAATAAAACCACTGCATTTAAATTTTCCCTTTATCATGGGAAAAGTACAGGCAAAGGCAGGGCAAAATAAGCATGTGCACGTGTATATGTGTATATGTAAAGAGATTATTCAATTCTGTTTTGAGTATATATAATGAGTAAGCTTGAAAAAGAAAACTCAAGATGAAAACATAGTCTTCAAAGTAAATTATGACAACATGCAATTTCCAAAAGTGTTGTTGATGGTGGTGGTTTTTGGCAGCCTTGTGCATGCTAGGCAAGTGCTCTACCACTAAGCCATATACCCAGCTAAAAATGTTTATTATATAAGGAGTGACAAGGGTCAAGAAGCACATGGAGCAGTGTAGAGAAAACACACTTCACAAGGTATGATGTAGAGTGACTCTGGGCTTGAGATGCCTGGGTTGGAGCTTCTGGATATGTGACTAATCTGGGTTGGCATAATGTGTGATGCACTGCAGTTCTGGGCTTTGACATCCTA